TGTCCAGCTGAGCCGTTCCCGTCCAGGCCCGGCCCGGCCCCTGGCGTGACACTCTCCATTTGGAACGCCCCATTCAGCGTCCGCGACCCGGCCGGCCGGCCGCGCCGTCCCGTCAGAGCAGAAATCAAGGCGCGCCCGCGAAGCTGCCCCGCTGTTGTCACGCAGAGCTACCGCTCGCGCCGGCGAGGAGCGCCGCGACGACCAAGTTCAGACTCGAGTTGGCGCGTCCGCGTCTGTCTAGCAGGCGAACGCGACGCGACGCGACGCGCCCTCCTGCCGCCCCACCGCATACCCCCTCCCCCTCTGGTTAGAAGTACAGTGCGTATAAGCTCCAGAAGGACGCCCGTGACGTCCTTCCACGCCATCACGTGGCGCCCCACTCGGAAATACGTTAAACGGCTGGCGGGAAATCGTGTAAAACGGAGGCATCGGGAGCTCAAGCGCCTGGTAGGTAGGCAATCGTGACACGTGCACGCGCGGGAGTCCAGCGGGTCTGCCTACCCGGAGCGTTCGCAGGCGCTCGGACCGGGCGGGCAAGGCTAAGGAGGGCCCGGCTGTCTCTACTCACCTCAGCAATGCTTTCTGTAAGATCACTTTCGGACGTAACTTTTTATTTTTTGACTCCGGACTTCTTACGAGTTTGAAGCCTCATGGCATGGCCCGGCTCGTTGTAGATGGTTGCCAGAGGCGAGGTGGGTCCAAAAATCGACGGAATTCGGTCGGTGAAGCAACAACTACCGGTTAACGTAGCTTATTGGCATAACGCTGACAATACGGTTCCCTACTTTTAGAAGACAATTCGGACAGCTCTTCAGTTCTTCCCCCAGACCTCAATTCTGCTTCTCACAGATTTTTTTTATCCTCCTGGATTTAAAAGCTCCCCATTCAACATTTGTATGCCTCCCTCGCCGCACACTTACCCTGACGATGACTGCCCCGTCGCGCATGTCGGCGACGTGATCCCTGGACGGCGCGCGGAGCTAGCGGTCGCCGCTCAGGAGGCGGTGGGCCAGGTTCGGTCCCGGCGCGCGGGGCTCTATCTCGGCACTACCCGTCCGGCTCGGCCCGGCGTCGTCGTCGCGCGCGCCTGTACCCGTCGGTGGGGGAGGGGGCACTCGCGGGGGATTAGCGGGGTGCTCGCGGTGCGGGCGCGCGCGTCGCGGAAGGCCCCGGGCGTCGCGCGGCGCGACCTCTCCAAGGTGCGGCGGCGTGGCGAGTGTGCGACCGCGGCCCGGCCCGCTCCAGAGCTCCCTATGGGCCCTAATAGACCTGGCATCCGCCGGCCGGGCTCCAAGTACAGTGAGGACCACGCCCGGCCCGCGGCCAATCAGAAACGCGCCCGTGTCGACTCACCCTGGCGTCGTACTCGGCGGCGGCGTGCTCCATCTCCAGCCCGGTGGGGAGGCTCGGCATGCTGATGGAGTTGCGGCGGTGCAGGCGGCGCCGCGGCTGCTCGTCCTGTCCGGGGGTGTCCGAGGTGCCGGGGACGTCCACGGCCACCCAGGACGGCCCCGACGGCGACGGGCACGTGACCACGACGGTCGGGCGGACGGGCTGCGCGCCGAGCAGCGGCGCCGACGCGGCCTCCTCCGAAGACTCCGAGGCCGAGGAGGGCTGCCGGACCAAGGCGAGCGCGGGCCCAGCGGAGTAGGCCGGCGGCGGCGAGCCCGGGGCGCCCGCCGTGCTGCCGGCCACCGAGGCGGTGGAGGCCGACACGGTGGAGCTGCTGCCGCGCGCGGCGCCGCCCCGCCGGGCCGCCAGGCTGGCGAAGTAGTCGTCGTCCTCGCTCACGCCGTCCGCCCAGGAGATCTGCGACGAGGGGCGCAGGGGGCCCAACGGCGGGCCCAGCTGCAGCCCGCCGGGGGTCGTGCGAGTGGCCACCCCGGGGGGCCGCGGCGGCGCGCCATCACCGCCGGCGACCTGCGAACAAAGAAATTGAAAGTGAAATAATTTTTATTTAAGGACTTCATACAAAAAGGGCTAAAAAGCCCCACTGCAGCACACAGCACGCTCTCTTTTTAACAATTTTAAAATAAATATTAGCAGATATTAATAAATATTAGAAATGTTGAGAATGAAGAGTGGGGGCAGTGAGCAGAGCCCGGCAGAGCCCAGCAGGCAGGCAGCCCAACGCGCACCCGCGACCGAGCGGCCGCTGTGCGACAGGGCGAGGCTCGCGCTCGGTGGGGCAGGACAGGACCCCGATGCAACACATGACACTGTCGTCTGATTCAGAAGATCGTTCAAGGGGGGCTTTCCTATACCTCCCGTATAGCTCCGTCCTTGTTGCACTCATAGGGCAGGTATAGGAGAGCCCCTCTTGAACGATCTTCTGAATCAGACAGCTGGACAACGAGACGGAGAACGCGCGGTCTCGTCACTTCCCTGTCCCCGCTCCCAACCCCTTACCACTCGCACCCTGTAGGGCACGCACGCAAAAAAATGTGTGACAGTGTTCCAACGACATGTTTCACTGCACCAACAATATTTTGTCCTTGGAGCGGGACATAATATGATGTACGAGTCGATGGCACCACACCACCGGCTGAGAGTTAGCAAACGAAGTGTCTTTGGGTCAACAACCCTGGCTAGCTACAAGAACGAGACTGACGTTGGAGCAAATATTATTTTTTGTGAGTGCGTGACGGGGTGCGGTGGCCGAAAGGAAGTCAGGAGGGGGCCCTCTATATATTTCGATTGCGGAAAGGAGACGACGAATACCTCCGCGCGCCCGTTTCCGCCAAATGAAATTAGCCCCGAGTGCTGAAAGGGCGGCCGTTGGCCGTGCGCGGCCGGGCCGTGTGGTTCTTGGCACGGCAGTGCGTGCTCGAGCCGGCTCGCCTCGCGTCTTCGCACCAGACAGCGCGGTGCGACGCGTTGACTTTGCAGATCAGCTGATAGCCGGCGGGGGGAGGGACCTCTCCTCTCCTCTGCTCACTACAATTTCCGGATGTTCCACATAGGGATCGTCCGAAAAGTACGTCCGTATTCCTCACATTATTCATTCGGCAGTTAGTCGGTAGCTGAGCGCCTGCGGGACTCGGGGTAGGCCATCCCGCAGTGCACGCGTGCACTGCAAGTGAGATGTTGCCTGCCCATCAGGCGCTATGAGAGCTTGCATGCATCAGCTGAATATGGCAGGTTCGTCACGGCACAGCGAATAACGGACGTACTTTCTGGACGATCCCATTGAGATGCTCGCGACATCACAAGCAGCAAGAGCTCTATCTTTCCTTTTGATAGGACGACTCCTGTTGCCGCCGCCGTGACCCTGAACCACTGCCGGGCAATTAACTTTCGAGGTGGCCCTGGCCTACCTTAATCATCCGCTACCTGCTCGGCCTGCTGCCGCTCTGCCCACACGATATCGGTTCGTAATGTACGGCAAACAAGTAGTATCCCTGCGATAAACACGGCTAGGTGTGTGTGAGAGAGTGTCGCTGCTGCTCGGCGCGGGGCTCCGCGTTGCCCTAGGCCACCTGCCGCTGTTTGGGGATTACGTTACACACTCGACGCCGAGCTTTGCACATGCACGGGCGTGGCGGGCGGGAGCTAGCTACACTGAGAACTTTACTACAACAAATGTATGCAGTGCATAGTTGACGTAGTCGTGTTTGAGGCTTGCACTGTAAAATACCGCCCCCAGTGATAACTGCGCATTATCGAAGAAGGCTAGAGAGATAAATGTAAAGGCTTTGCAGTGATAACAGGGCCTGCCGGGGCCGGGGACCCACACTATAAAGTTAATTCACACAAGGCGGGAGTGTGACGTTGCCTCATGCTCGCGGCGTACGTCTCGTCTGGTTGTGACGCGACAGCGTATAGAGACGCATAGACGTATATCTCATTGCCCCCTCCTTCTCCGGGGACACACGATGAATTACATTATTCTCGCCAACGGAGCTCGCGGGCCCCGGACATCGCGGCGGTGGCGCCGCGAGCCACACGTAAAATGCGACAAGAGAAATAATAATCTAATAATAAATCCAATCAGACTGGCAGATGGCCCGGCAGAACCGCAGTCGTGGTTGGTGCCGAGGGGTATGCGAAATGACCACAACGACAAACTGTATGACGACCGGCGCGTCTTTGGCAGTAGGCGTTGTCAGTCTTGCTCGTCTACCGACCGTTGGGCCGGGACATCCCAGCAGCGGTCGTCACGTGCGAGCTGTAATGGCTCGGCCCGGCCAGCAGCGGCCACTTGGAGACGGTCGTCAACGCCGCCGGTCCGGCGCGGCGCGGGCGGCGGCACGGCAGCCAAAACACCAAAGGAAGATTGCTGGTGGCGGGAGGCAAAGTCGCAGGAGAGACGCGCGCGCGTCCCAGTGGGGACGGCGTCATCGCCAGCCTCCCGGTGCGCGACAAAGACGCGGCGGCGGGCAGGTGTTTCTAGGCGCGCGCGGCGGCGGCCGGTGCCCTTGGACGGGGGTCATCAATGGGACGCGACGCGTGCTCGTCGCGGAGGCGCGGCGGGGGCGGGGCGCGTGCGGCTGAAAGAGGTGGCCGATAACGAGCAAGAAGCCTGCCTAGAGGAGCACTGCCCCGGCGGCAGCATCCAGGACGCCCCATGACGAACGACGAGGACGAGACGCTGACGCGATGCCTAATGAGTCCGCGGCGCAAACAACAGTTCGCAGTATGAGCCGCAATCAAATCTCGCGCAGCCACTTGTTCGGCCTACCTACGGGACGCGGCGATGAGTCGAGATACCCATTCAAGAGCGAGAAAGCGCATATCAAGCCTGTTACACGACTCGTCCCCAGTCGATGTCACCACGTCACGCATCACCACAGGTGCCCCCCTCTCCTCCGAGTACGTCGTTAACGCGGCGAACCATCATTCACAAAGGGGAGCTGCTGTCCATGGCCCAGGGCGGGCGCGGGCGCAGGCACGTCGGGGGCCCCGCAGACAAGTTCCTACAATGTCGTAGCTCTCCAGGGCCGTGATGACTTCGTCCAGCAGCGGCACCGAGTCGTTGCTGCTGTCGTCGTCGAGGAAGCGGGAGGACGAGCGACGACGGTGGCCGGCGTGCATCCCGACGACCCAAGCCGGGCGGGGGCCCGCACTTGTTTACGGAATAGCTGTGACCCTGAGCGGCGCGAGGCGGGGCGAGGCGGTCCTCCAGCCGCCGAGCTGGCCTGTGGCCTGGCCGAGGCGAGGCAGTAGTAAGCAGGTTCGTCTCGCAAACAGGTGACGGCGGCACGGGTGGGGTACGCGGCGACCACGCCCGGCCCGGGACTGTCGCCAAACCAAACTAATGGGCATGACAGGTCAGCACGCGACGGGCAGAGGACACGGCCCCGGACGGGCAAAGGACGGAAACGGGGAGCTGCTGCCGCCTGCTGCCGCCGTCCCCGGCGTTGGTCCGTCGTCGGGTGGGTCCGTCACAGGACGCCGCTAATGCGCGCTCGCATCCCTTGCGTACAGTGCGGTGCAGTGGACGGGTTCGGGCGAGCGGCGGTATAGTCCCGCCTGACACCTGAGACGTCGTCTTACCTTACGCTGCCGAGCCTGGTCCATCCTTGAGCTTGGGGGCTTACAGGGGCAGGGCCGGCAAGGCTCCGGGCGTCATCCCGGAGACAGACGCGGCGTGCAGACTCGCGTGCTCCGCGCGCTGGTGCTGAGCTAGTGCGTGGTCTGCGGCGCGCACCGACGCACGTCTCAAACAGGCGCCGCGCGAGCTGGCGCGAGCCGAAGGCAAGCGAGCAAGCGAGGCGGTTACGTTCGCTCGCGCGCGCCACTGGGTGGGGGAAGTCCTCAAGCCATCCGCCCGCCGCCGCCACCGCCACCGCCCGCCGTCGGCCCACAGTCCGGTCCGGCTAAAGGACAGTACTATGTGAAGTTGCTACAGCGCGTGGTTAAGATATGGGCAACACAACACTTCTGTTCTTCCGTCAGTACGACTACGTGCTCTATTATTGCCTGGAACCTCAAATACAGTGTCATTGGGTGCCGCGTGAAGTTCCCGACGTCACCCCCTGGACGAGCCTGGATGTGTGGGTCCAACTCGGTCAAACCCTTCGTCCCTGAAAGACCTCAAATCCTAATTTTGAGCTAAATCGGTACATTCATGTCGGGGCTATTTAAAGTATGGTGTGACCATAAGACATTCGAGAGTATCATCATAGTCTTTTACAGCCTCCCTAATTGAGTGTTTGGCTGTTAAGTATTGATGTCTTGACATAAAACTGCCTTGTGGTTTCCTCTCTTTCCAAAGGTAAATGCTGTATCCCTGCCTATAGTCATCCTGTGTATAATTCTGTTTGGTACCTCTAGCGCCCTCTATGCTTTCTGTCAATACTGTGACCTTCGTTTACCTGTGCTTTGCTTGCACGCAATCATGTCACTCCTGCTCGTACCGCCCAATAAACCAGAGTTAGCCCAGCACGACGTCTACTACTTCTACCCACCCTGATATACAACACTGGCGACGAGGAAGCAGATCTTAGAAGAACTCGTTAGATCGTTGCTGTGGCTGCTCGGCGGGACCATCGGCCGGCGTGCCATAACCTCTTTCGCCACCCGGCTCCCTTGGAACTTCGGACTGAATCAGCTGTGAGTACGTACTGCTCATCCGAACATCATGGCTGAAAAGCCGGGCTTGATGTTTCGGTTATCTGAGCCAGAGCGTTTGGAAGAATTCCTCGAAGAGCTAACATTGCTCATGGAGGCCAGGGCTGTCACCTCAGAAAAACAGATGAGAGGCATCTTGTGTCAATGCATTTGTGATGAAACCAAACGCAAACTCCGGCGATGGGCGGATCCCTTGCCACTCACAGAGTGTCCATACAAACGGATGATCGAACTCCTTAGGGACAAGATTCAGCCTTCAGTCAATCGCGATGTGCAATTTAACACCTTCGTGATGAGGTTCCAGCAGGAGGGGGAGTCGGGGGCAGCTTATTCGGCAGAGCTCGTGCGTCTGTCCGAGAATTTAGGCTTTGGTCAGCAAGAAGCCACACTCTTGGTTACATATCAACTCAAGAGGGGTATGCGTGATCGTGGAATACAGGAGAAACTGTACGCGGATTCTCTGATTAGCCTGGAAGGCGCCCTAAACATCATTCATGCTTCAGAATCCAGTAGAGCGTGCATCAACAGTCTGCAAAACCAAGTGGAAATCAATGTCATGCACTCTCGAAGGAAGCAAGTTCCTCAGAAACCTCAGGGTAACTTCCAGCAGAAGACTGCTAGATCACTCCCTCCTTCTAAACCAAGTACATCTAGTGGTACATCTAATCAGGTTTCATGTTTTCGTTGTGGGGAGGCTGGGCATGTTACGAAACAGTGCAGGCTTAAATACAAGGATTGTGTGTGCTCTTTTTGTTCAAAGGTTGGCCACTTGTTAGCTGCATGCAAAGCGAAGAAGAGCAGCAAGAAGAAGGTGGAGACCAACCTCGTACAGTCGCACAGCTCGGCCTCAGCTCCTCACAACAACAACAACTCAAGCCCACAAGGTAAAATGCTGTCGACTTCCACTAATGATACTCATTCTTCAGGTTTTAGTTCGTCGGGAGGTTCGACGGTTCCCTTCCAAGATGTCAAGGGTGGCTTTTCGGATCTTTACTCCATCCGCTGCGACCCCCAGGTCGATCCACTCTACATAACCTTGTTGGTTAATGGCAAGCAAGTAACCTTCCAAATTGATGATGGAGCCGCCAAGACTGTGATGTCTGAATCTACTTTCCAGAAGACCTTTGGAGATGTCCCACGGGAATCTGCTCGAGTTGCACTGACTACGTGGGGTGCCAAGGATGCTATCTATGACACCTATCAATCCTACGTTGAAGTTGTCTTCCGTGGTAAGACCCTTTCTCTTCCAATTGTGATAACCGCTGATCAGGCAGGAGCCGCTCCGAATCTTTTTGGCAGGAATTGGATCTCAGCTCTGTATGGTGCCGATTTCCTGGAGAAGTCTTATCAAGTTGGTCGCTACTCCATCAACGCACTTCAGGCAGATCCAACTCCAGAAGTCTCACTAGGATCTTTGCGCAGTTGGGTCCATACTTTTCCAGCAGTCTCAGGGAAAGGAACAGGAAGATATACTGGACCTCCGGCCAACTTTGGCGTGCCACCAGGAACTCAACCAAAATACCATTATGCAAGGTCGGTACCGTTTGCGTTGGCTGCCAGGGTTGAAGAAGCAATTGATGCAAAAGTTGCGGCTGGAATTTGGGTATCAATTGACCCTACTGAAGTGTCCTGGGCTACAGCCCTTGTTCCAATTCCGAAGAAAAACGGTGAGATTCGTTTATGTGCTGATTACAAGTCAACCATTAACCCAGTGTTACAGCCGGATACCTACACTTCTCCCACGGTCAACGAAATCTTGGCCATGGCAGCTGGCTGTGAAGTTTTTGCAGAACTGGATGCCAAAGAAGCATATCTCCAGATCCCTCTAACCTTGGAGACAAGCAAGCTCATGGTTGTGAACACCAAGAAGGGCTTGTTCCGTCCAACAACCTTACAATTTGGTGTCAAGGTGGCACCAGGAATATTCCAGAGGATTATGGATGGGTTGCTGGGCAGCTCCAAGCAAGTAATGGTTTACCAGGATAACATATATATATTCTCTGTATCATTCCAGGATCATGTCTCCAAGCTACAAGAAGTGCTTGGCAAACTGAGCAAAGCTGGAATTTGTCTCAACAGTGCTAAATGCATTTGGGCTGCTGCGGCAATCAATGTCTTGGGTTATCGCATTGACAAGAATGGTGTTCACCCAACTGATGAGAAGATCAAGGCGGTGGCCAACATTTCGGCACCTACAGAAGTTTCTCAACTCCAATCTATCCTCGGCACCATAGCTTTCCACACCAGGTTCTTCAAGGATCAGGCAAATGTGTTGGAACCCTTGTACCGGCTGCTAGACAAGAAGAGAAAATTTGAGTGGAATCAAGTGCACGAAGACGCCTTGAACAAGGTAAAGGAAATTCTGACTTCTAAACCAATGCTACATCATTATTCCTTGCAGCTTCCCATATCTGTGGTAGCTGATGCATCAATGGTAGGCGTTGGGGCAGTTTTAAATCACCTTGTTGTCAATGAGGATGGTTCAATTACTGAACATCCTGTGTCTTATGCATCTCGTACCTTGTCACAAGTGGAACGCCGTTACTCTCAACTTGACAGAGAAGCGCTCTCCTTGATTTTTGCTGTCACTCACTTTCACCAGTATCTGTATGGGAGACATTTTTCTCTATTCACTGATCACAAGCCTCTTGTTGAGATTTTCAAGCCAGGGGCCCCGCTGCCAGACCACTTGTCACCAAGGATGGTGCGGTGGGCGCTCAAGCTTGGCAGTATGGATTTGGATCTGAAGTACCGCCCAGGAAAATCCATGGCATCAGCAGACATGTTAAGCCGACATCCTCAAGCGGTTGGGACCACAGAAGATTATGAACCTGTATGTATTTTCTTACTATCTGAGGAGTCTGATTACCCACTAACAGCTAAGGACATTGCAGTTGCCACGGAACGAGATCCCATTCTTCAACAAGTTTACCAATGGATTCATAAGGGTTGGCCAGAGAAGGCCCCTTCAGAAGAATTCAAACCCTTCTTTCGTGAAACAATTGGATTCTCATTACTTAATGATTGTATCTTGTTTGATGACAGAGTGGTGATTCCGGAAAATCTGCAACCTCAAGTCCTAGAGCTGATTCACAGTGACCACTTTGGAATCTGCTATTCAAAAGCTATGGCAAGGTCTTTGGTCTGGTGGCCAGGTTTGGACAAGGATGTAGCTGCAGTTGTAGCTTCCTGCAGTAACTGTCGGAGAACAGCAAGTAAACCTCCGCAGAACATCACTTCCACATGGCCACTCCCTACAAAACCATGGGAGAGACTTCATCTAGACTACGCTGGTCCACTGGATGGGAGGAACTATTTAATCATGGTGGACTCATACACCAAGTGGCCAATTGTCAAGTTGGTAGGTGATCTGTCTGCATCTACATTGGTAACCCTGGTCCGTTATTGCTTTGCAGATTATGGCGTACCAGACCTCATCGTGACCGACAATGGCACTCAGTTTACATCTATGGAGTTTCGGAACTTCCTCAAGCTGAATGGAGTTCGGCATCTGACATCACCACCATGGCACCCTGCATCCAATGGTTTGGCTGAACGCACTGTCAAAACTTTCAAAACTTTTCTTTCTCGCTTCAGTGAAGGTGACATCCACACCAGACTGGCTCGGGTACTGAAGGCGATGAGGACCATGCCACATGCTCCCTCCAACATCTCAGCTGGGGAAGCAATGTTTGGTCGACCACTGCCATCAACTTTCTCCAAGATTCACCCCGCATCCAGGACCTCTGAAAGGCCAACTCCACCACCTTTACCGCCAGGTACTCTGGTTTGGGCCTTAAAACGCCAAAATAACAGTTGTTCTTGGCAGCCAGGGTCGATCAAGGAGCATCAGGGACAAAGGATTTACGTGGTGCTGTTACACGACGGATCTTCGCTTCGAGTGTCGGTGGATGAAGTGCAACGCCGTCTCGAAAATCAGAGCGCCGCCCCTCCCCCGCCGCCACCCCAGAAGGCAGAGGTTGGTCAGCCAGAAACAACTGTCAGCTCTAATTCGCATGATGTTTGGTCTACAGACAGGCAAGCAAACCAGGAGCCTCTTCAGGCCATTTTAGCACCGCCACCTCCACCTGCTGGGCACAATTCAAGGTCCCCCAGCCCCCCGGTGCTCAGCCCTCAAGCTAGTCCAACCAGAGAGACATCTACTGGATCACCAAGCCAAGGTCGTGGTCGAGGTCTGAGAGGGAGACCCAGAGGCTCCAAGAGAACTGCATTTGTTGTCAAGGCTCAAGAGACCAGAAGTGGCAGACTCACTAAAATTCCTGGTCAATTCTCTGATGCTTAATCTTTGTATTCATTTGTGATACTTTTCCTCTGTGATACCTATCAATGTTTGTATTAATTTGTGCTTCCTGCATTCGGCAATTTCTTTTGCTTCTAAGCTTTTATGCTTTCTTTGGCTGTTATGTATTTTTCAGCTTCTTTGTTTCAATTCAAACCTTGTGTTTTCATTTCAATGATCATTGTACTCAATTAACTTAATGTTTGTTTTAATCTCATTATTTTAATTTCAATTTTAATTGTTCATGCTTCTAGCTCATATCAATTAAATCTTGGCTTCACGCTTCTTTACTATGCTTAATGCATTCAATGTAGATCTTTTAATATATTTTTGTCTACTGTACTGTTTTAACTTCAATTAAAAGGGCTAACTCATTCAATTTTTTCACAGCATCCTGCCGTGTAAATTAATTCATTACACAGCCTCTTCTTTTGCATTGTTAAAAAATCCAGGCTGTTTGGTTCACGTTTTAGCATTGTTAATTTAAACGACTACCTCTGGTAGTCATTCTCAATTATGTATGCTTTTATCTTTTTTTTACTTTTTTTTGTAAACGGTGAGGAGTGCTGTATCCCTGCCTATAGTCATCCTGTGTATAATTCTGTTTGGTACCTCTAGCGCCCTCTATGCTTTCTGTCAATACTGTGACCTTCGTTTACCTGTGCTTTGCTTGCACGCAATCATGTCACTCCTGCTCGTACCGCCCAATAAACCAGAGTTAGCCCAGCACGACGTCTACTACTTCTACCCACCCTGATATACAACAGTAAATGTGTTTCCCCATTTTTGTGCCAAATAAGCAAAGTTCCGTACGGGTCGTGCGGCGGACCACCGCATCTTCCGCAATGAAGCATTCCGGCAAAGCTGAAACACAGAAAAATGCGGGGAACAAGGAAAAAGAAGTCACCATATTCAAGCATAGTGAATTTCGTTTTGATGTTCCCTGCATTCCTTTTCTTTCCAGCTTTACCAAAATGCTTTGTTAACTGTATAATTTCCGAGAAGCAAAGACCTGCAACCTGCATTTGGCCCACAGGCAGACAGACATGTTCTTCAGGGGCTACTACAGGTTTGTCAGATATCAAGATTAACAACTGCCTTCCTTTGTCTTAAAGACCTTTGAGATTAATAAATGAAGAAGAGACAAATCTGGTTACATTTAAAACTAATTTATCAACATCACAGTCAAACATGAAACTCACAAATAATAAAAAATACATAAAAAAGGAAAATTGATCAATGTTACAGACTACATATTGGACTACAGTATCAAAATGTAAAATTTGAGCAAGTCCTTCTCAGACACCTAATATAAATTGACCTTAGAAAGAACTATGATTGAAAGTACGACAATTACAGGTGAACACCAATTCTTCCATTTAAGCATGATCTGGAAGGAATAAATTCTAGTATAATAATTTGTGAGTGAAATCAATAAAACTATATGAACTAAATATTAACCCTCTTAATAGAACTCTATAGGCCAGTGATGTTTTTTTAATAATTGATTTAAACTTAAATAACAAGCCAAATGACTTAACCTTGATCTCTAGATTACTTGATATGTATAAAGTATTCGAGAAATACAAAGGAAATTCAGCTTATTGCCATTCGTCATCAGTCATCTATTTACAAAAAATAATACTGAGAGAGTTGCTAAATTTGATGTATTTAAATTTTAATTCAATCTAGTTCATCCCATTTCATTGATACATATTGTCATTCTTCTACTAGCCAAGAGCAGTGATGATTTCATCCATAACAATCCATGCTCCACCTTCAGAAAATGTCTCTACATTTGAATTAGGTAACCTGAAAAAATACAAAGGATTAGGAGATCATGAACTTAATAGTGATGTCACTGATTACTTTAAATAAGTACAAGCCACATGGGCAATAGGCAAAGAAAATAATAATAAAAAGAAGAAGAAAACTGAACTTACCTCATGTAAAATGGTGCATCAGAGTACAAATGGCGGTCAATATCAATCAAGCCTGGAAAGGGGAAAAAATGGGTAGATACATAATCTGAATTCATTCGACTTGATTTCACTTCACAACTTTCAGGGCTCAAATCGCTATTATAATTTTTCTCAACACATCAGTTGACAACAAAGTGTATACTTACAAGGCAGTCGTAAATTAAGAAGCCATCTGTTGTACAACTCCAACACTCTTAGTTTTTCTTCATTGGCAATCATGATAAAAGATGGAGGTACTGGTAGAGTAATGAGAATGACTGTATTGTATTTCAACCTTTGCAACAAGGATGTCGTTTGTTTCTTCATATCTTCCAGAGAAGCTCCCTGCAGATCGCACAAAATAACAGTGATGTCAAGGGTACACTTACAGTACATAGGAAACAAGCAAAATTATGTTATTCGTAATTCTCTTAGTAAAGCAATAATGCAACACACCTGTATGATATCTGTCATTCCAATACACAAGACAACTTTTCCTGTAGTTCCCTCCCTTACAATCGCTTCTTCACATTCTGCAATGGTTAAATTATCACGACACAGACCGCAATATGATATGGAACCTTCAGATCAAACAGAAACAAAATGTATTAGAACTTTTCTAATAGATAGATAAAACAAAATAAAAGAAATGTGCTTACCTTTCCTTTGAACGGTACTTGCTAAGCATACTTCTGCTACACGAAGTAGAAGAAAATCACCAATAAATTGAAAATCTTCATACATAGGCTCACAATTAGTAAAAGCCTTTTTCTCATTAGGAACTTTTACAACAATGGTTGGCACACCATCCTTCACACTTGTTGATGTCACACGTTTTGTAGGTGATCCACTGACAGCAATTTCTATTAGATATTAAAAAAACAAAAAAACAAAAAACGAGAGTAAAGCAATATTTTTACCATCAGTACCAATACAATGATAGTCCCAATATTTTTATTGAAAAAAAATGAAAACTTTCAATTAAACTACCTTGATTAGAAACTAAAGATGTTTGCAAGCAAATTTTTTTCTCTGCCTGAGAAATAGTTTTGTTGTTAGGTCTTACAACACGAAGGATAGACTGAGGGTTTGCATGGCCAACATTTCCAACTGCTTCAGATTGTGGAGGTGCATTGGGTGTGATCTTTTGGTCATCTTTCTGGCTTTCATTCGTTTTGGACAAATAACGTACATCTCTAGCACCAAAACTACATACCCGTGCATCTGACCTCACTGGCTGTGCTTTGGTTCTACTAGAAGACACAGTATTGTTCTGCAACGAATGTGATGAATAACATGCCCTACTGGAAGGTAAAACAGTTCGTGCAGGCACCTGATTTGACTCTGATTCTGAAGACCAATCATCATCAAGATTAGGAATAGATTTTGAAACAGATACACTTGAGCTTGTTACAGCCCCAGAATCCAAATGAAAACCTGCTTCACTGTTAATGGGTTTTGAACTAGGCGCAGGCTCAGTTCCTGAACTGTAAGTTTTTGAAATTCCAGATGTAGACTTCTCTTCTCTTCTGGCATAAAGTTCTTTCTTTATGGAAGAACTGCTTGAAACAGTTGAATTGGAAACTGGTTTGAAGTCTCTCTCTTTTGGAGGATGTCCATTGTGCAAATTATGGGCATTTGGAATCCGATTATGCATAATCTGTTGATTGCCTCGGTTCAAAGAGCTTGTACGATCTCTGCTATTTGAATACACTCTGCCTTTTCCTTGGTAATGGACATTATTCCCACAGTTCCTTTGATAATTGGACAGATTTGGATTCTCATGGTTTCTTGATGACGGCCCATACTGCACAGACCTTATATTAGCAGATTTAAATGATGACGTATCTCCACCTGATTTATGTTTAGAATCTCTATGAGGAGAATAGAAACTCCTTGATGTCTGAAAACCAAAAAAAAATATCTTCATTACGTTAGCCATTCTCTTTAATTTGAATAAAATAAAATAAATGAAAAGACTTACACAGAAAGATGGCCTTGGCTTGTTGTAGTTTCTTTTTCTCTGTCTAGGCTTCTACAATCAAAAGTTTACATTTACTTTATTTCTTGTCAGGGTCAGTTAAGAAATAGACAATTGCAGGGTAAAGATTTGTTGGACCAACAATGTTATAGAGGGTAAGGGGGCTCGACGCCAATGTGAGTTCTCTCTTAAATCTCTGAAACTTCATCTTAGGCACACTAATCAATTATTTACAAATCTGATTTTACCTCCTTACGCAATGTCTTCATAGTTCTTTCAATATGGGTGCAATAAGATGTGCCTGCAACCCCGAAGAAGGTGAACTCCAGCAACTAGGAGTCGCGGCATTTCTTATTACATCCACATTGATAAGAAAAATTTCTTAATTTAAAAATTTCTTTTCAGATTTAAAAATAACAGCTTAGTTAGCCAATAATCAAGCTACAAAGAAAGAACACATATACCCACCCTACCCTATAGGGTTGACAAATAAAAACCATATTAATTTTCCTTTACCCTACAATAGACCTCTTTGTCCATGACGTGATAACAGTGAGTGCCCGATTTTGTAGTTAACATCAACCATGTTTATAGTGATTGACAACAACATTATGAATTACCACTCGAATCCTTAATAAATTTGGCATGGACAAGTGATTTTACTGTCTTAAAGAGACACACGGATTACATTTTTAAACCTATAACAAACTCAAGATCTGCACTGTTGCAAAGTTGTGGGTAAAGAGGTCTCTTGCCTATGCACATGACCTGTTTAAATTTGACAAAGTGTACACACAAATGTATGACTAGGTTTCAAGTTGCATACCTTATCTCTAGTTCTTTCAACTAAGGATGTGATGTGGCTGATTTTTCCGTCATTCACATGACACACAACTCCATCACGGTCTTGAGTAACCGCTATTTCAGGGCAGGACCTCAGCATTTCAATCACATCTTTGAAGCCGTACTTTGAGAAATTTAGTGATGACCCTGTTTCTTCTCTGTACTCTTCTGGAAAACACAAGTTAAAAGTCAGCAGTTAGATTCAAACAAAATTGTAGGTAGACAAATTCATGTAGTGCATAATAGTGGGCGCACTCAATTCATCCAGGACTTCAACTATTTGTAGTCCTCTTAAAATTTGGCGCAACTTTAGAAACAATGAATTCAGCAAGTCCAATCAAAATCTAGTATCAAACCCCTTTTTACTCATAAAATATCTGGACAAGAAAACTTACTCAAGAGTTTATGCACAGTCAGACCTCCTTTGGTGATAGCAATCAGTGATTTGAGAAGAGTAAAATCATCTTCCAGTCCCTCCATCTGTTCAGTCAAATAATAGTTATAAATAAAAGGAAGCATGTAGTTGAAATTATAAAGCCAGCGACGAAGATCGCACCTTACGAACAAATAAGTAAAAAGCAGCAGTCAATAAGTCACGTGCCGATTAAAACTGCAAATTAAAAAGAAAAACAAAGGAGTAGAATATGCATGTTAGAGTTGAAACGAAGTGTATCAGGTGCATTATATACTTACACGTTAAAAGAACTTTCAAAATCAAAAATTAAAATACTGAGTCACAGTCAAATAATCGTCAAATGAACCTGCACGGAGCACAACACAACAGGTACAAGGAAAACGCCGACGCGAAAGTGGTGGAGGAGGAAATAGGAAATAGGAAAGAGCAGGTCAAGAACGAAATTTTCCATGCCAGCGATTTTTCATCCATAACTCCTCCTCCCCCCCCCCTCCAAAACCTCCCTCCTCTTCCTCTCCTCTCCTCTCCCCGCCCTCCCCGCCTTATCTTCTTGTTGTACACATGGACATGGGGTAGGGGGTCAGGCGCCGCTGCAGTATTTATTTTAAAAACTTGTCATCTGATAAAAGAAACCAGTGAAAGAGTGTCGGCAAGGTCACTGCCCATTTGTCGTTTTTCCCTGCAAGACGTCTAAGGACTGTTCTACCACCAAAATGTCTACTGATACAAAGTAAGAATTTCATGTTAACCTGTTAGGAAGTTGTGTATTCTTGAAAGCACGGATCTCTTAAGATAATGTACTTGACAGAAGATATATACTGTTAAAGATCCCTTGGCAAACAATCTGGTAAATTGAGTGAGCGAATGAAGAGTTTCTTCAGAGTCCTTCCCCTGTATTTCATATTTCGCAATTTGAGTGAAACGTTTAACACGAATCAAAAATATATGCCCTATTAATTATCTTTTATTATTCCAAAACATATGTTCTGATAATCTCTCTCTTGTTTTGCTAATATTTCTGATAATAACTTTTGTCTTCCTAGGGAAGGAATGCTTCTTGGTATGGGCAATCCTTTATTGGACATTCTTGCCACTGTCACTCCTGACTTCCTCACGAAGTTCAATCTCAAGGCTAATAATGCCATACTTGCTGATGAATCACACAAGTCTTTGGTGCCAGAAATGGTTAAGAATTTCAAAGTGGAATACATTGCAGGAGGGTCTGTGCAGAACACATTAAGAATTGCTCAGGTAATATTTAGTGTTATTTTTAACATTCTATTCCCGTTCCTTAGTACTTTTTGTCTGTGTTACTATACATTTACTAAATTTTTTCTTACTTCAAAGTGGATTTTAAAAAAGCCAAATGTAGCTGCATTCTTTGGTTGTGTGGGCCGTGACGACAACAGTGAAATCATTCAGAAAAAGGCAGTGGAGGCAGGAATAAATGTCCAATATCAGTACAGTGAAACACAATCCACAGGTTTGTGATAATTCCTTTAAATTTTGAAATATGAATAAATAACTTCAATGTGTGTTCATACTTTTATTATTGTGCTTTGCTTTCATTTTTGTTAGGTACATGTGCTGTGCTAGTCACAGACAATGGCCGCAATAGGTCCTTGGTAGCAGATCTGTCAGCTGCTAATTGTTTTACTTCGGACCATATTAAGAAACCAGAAAATAAGAAACTTATTGAGAATGCCCAGTTCTTTTACATATCTGTAAGTATTAGATACAAAAATCTACTCACTATTTAATCTTTAATTCTATTATTTTAACTCTTTCCTTTTTCAGGGCTTCTTTTTGACTGTGAGCCAGGACACCATCCAGACAGTTGCAAAATATGCTCATGAAGCAAATAGGACTCTTGCCATGAATCTTAGTGCTCCATTTATTGTTCAAATATTCAAGGACGGTATGATGGCTGCTATGCCTTATGTAGATATTCTTTTTGGGAATGAAACAGTAAGTATACAAAACGAAGCCTTTTTTATGTAATGCAACAGTCACAACGTGAGCCTACAATAACAGGTAAATTAATTACAGGAAGCTCTTGCTCTGGCCAAAGAGTTAGACTTTGGCACCTCTAAGATGGAAGAAATAGCTCTCAAAATTTCACAGCTGAAGAAAGCTGGAAGTAAGCCTCGTATGGTGGTCATTACTCAAGGTCATGATCCAGTAATTCTTATCAAAGGTATTGTTAGTGAAATTCTCAGTTTGTTCAATTTGTGTGAATGTCATCCTTGAATGACCAATTGTGTATTGTCATTAGATGGTGCCCTAAAAACTTATCCCGTTGAACAACTGCCTGAGGGGAAGATTGTCGATACCAATGGTGCTGGAGATGCCTTTGTTGGAGGTAAGAGTTCAGATTATAATCTTGCGAAAAATTGTTCAACAATACATTCATGAAATGTTCTTTACAGGATTTTTGGCTCAATTGATCCAAGGCAAAGATGTTGATTCTTGTGTGAAATGTGCCATCTGGAGTGCAACACATGTTATTCAGCAGTCAGGTTGTGCATTTGATTCTTCTATTCAATATTTTGGTTGAATAAAATAATACTGATATGAAATTGTTTTCCTTATGTGACCCCTCAGTAAAACTCAAATTGATCATTTCAAGAAAATCAATAAGTATGACAAATGTAAAGTGTTTATAAAGCTTGAATACAAGTGAGGTATTTTCAGTGCACACATTGTATCTCACTGAGTGGCATTTAAGAGCAGCAGTAATTACAATTATTCAATTTTAACATAATACTCAATGTTTAAAGAAGTCCAGGACTGGCAGGTTCAGGCGAGATGAAAAATTGAAAGAAGTGTTTGTATCTTATATAGTTTAATTCTCCTTAACTTCCCTCAACCTCCTGACAGCTGACCTCACTGATGCAGCAGCTGTGGTGGAATACACCCAGGCACCTCCAGCGACAGTGCGCTTGCAACGCTTGCAGGACCAAATGCCAACAACAGCCCGCTTCATGGAGTCCTAGGAACACAAGACATTGTGATATTAGGCTCACATCTCATATTGTGAAAACAAATTAACTTCAAGACAGAACATACCTTGCCACAGAATGTGCAGGTGTACTTGCTGTGTTGGGTGATCTCCATCTTCTTGACCATCTTACGGAGAGAGGCACCATATCGGGTACCATATTTACCGCAGATTCCGACCTTCTTCGTGCGCTTGGCCTAAGACAAGGAAACCAATTAGGATTAATCATTGTCATCGTCAAATCGTCAAACCAAACAAAAAGACGGTCAGAGTACAGGTCAACAAATGTAAACAGTGATTAAATGAAGGAAAGGAGCCTGAAGGCGACATGTGTAGCACAATCAAATTATGAAGTGTCTTAAAAGGAGAGATAGGCACACAGAAAATGCTGCGTAGTGTGTTCAGAAGGGGGACTAATATGCTGAAGTGAGAATAGACAGCCGGGTGAGACGTTACTCTACATATAGGTTATGAGTCCCTGAAGATGCAAAACGAACACAAGTTTTGAAGGTACGCAGTAGAAATAGGAGGATTGATACAAAACTAGGCCAAATGAAATAATACTTTAAATTTCTAGAAATTAATTTGAAATTAATATAAACGTAAATTTGGGTTGAAATCGTCACGCAAGTTCAAGCAATCCGAAGGATGACGTTCACGCCGTGCCAAACTAAACCCAAAGTACTACATCAGGAATTGAAGGAATTCACATATATAAAATGTAAGGGGACGATGAAAATCTGCAACACTTGGGTGTGATTTAAACGGATAAAAATTACTTACCATGGCTGCTGATTTCGATGAACAGGTCCACCGGAAAAAAGGAAGTGATCGGTGCAAACACGACCACGCGAAGAAGGCAAACTTTGGAAGAAGACTTAGAGAAGAAAACCGTCGTTCCGCTGACTCGGTCACCAAATTTCGAGCAGGCCCAGGTTATGGCGGGGAGTTTGAAAGGCACAGTCTCTTGGACCAATTCCTCAAGAATTGTGAAACAAAATAATTTTCAAAATTATAATTGAAACATTAAAATATTTTTTTAAAAAAATCAGGGCTAGATTCATCAATGGCTTCACATACATGCGGATTTTCTTTACAAAAAAATCTAGACAGTAACAACCAGGTGAGACAACATACAATATGCTTTCACGACTCTACATAGTACTAAATTTTTCGTTTTATATTTTAAAAAAGTGTTAAATATTCGCTTTCTGAGGTAATTTCGTGTCAAGATGTTATCATTGTAATTAGGAACATAAGAAGAAAACTATTTTAAGTGCTATTATTTTTTTGCGATGGCTGTCAAACTTGGTCTAGCAGACGATTTTGTGAAAAGGCCATAAAATAGATACTAAATCAGTGATAGTATCGGTGTTAATTTTCAGTGCTAAAGTTATAGAAATTATAGAAATTATTCAGTACTTTTAAATTTGATGCCCTGCTCTGACGGTCCGAATTCGACTTTAAATACATCACCAAACAGCTGAGTAGCAGCTGAGACAATGACGTCAGCAGGAGCAGTAGCAGCATCATAGACAGTTGCCAAACAGAGAGGGTGACTGACACTTTATTTGCTGTTTGGCTCTGTGATTTGAGTCGAAATAAGTCCAATTTGGGTCAGTTTCGCGTTGAATTGTTGGTGCTGTGATACACTTATAGTGCTGTCAGAGGCCCTACTTGTTGGAGATGAGTGAGCTGAGCCAGGAGGAGGTACGTCAAACTTTGAAATTTGTGTCAATGATGATCCTTGCCAGAGTCTTTGTGTTTAGAAATGCATCGTACGTTACCAAAGATTCAGGGAGATCTTTTTTTATTAATATTCTCATCTACAGTTGGTCAAAGTCTCTCTTTGTTGTCCTCTATTTTATTAGTTTGTCCGTTTTCTGGAGCGTGTGGCCTCTGTATCAACTGAATAGAACCATTCATAACCTACAGTGTCAGTAACATTTTTGACCATTTGTTGTTGTCTTGTTTTTTGTGGCGATGATGAATGAATGGCGAAACTTTTTTGAAACAGTGATATAAAATTCGCATGCACTTGCAACTCTTTTGTATTATGAGAACTAATATCTGAAGAAGTTTGCATGTTCTATGCCTTATTTCACAAACCTTATGTACTTCATTTTTCCTTTACACAAAAGTATATTTGTCCTGGGTATTCTTAAAAGTTCTTTTTTATTCATCCAATCTTACTTAATTTCTTTCTATGTTTGTTCACACGTACATGTTGTGTATTGACTTTTTAGATACGCCAAAAGCGCTTGGCTCGATTGGCAGCTCTTGATACCTCAAGTAATGCCTCTCCAAGCTCTTCCCCAGGAGGAGTACCCACCTCTCCACCATCTGTAGCACCTTCTTCCAGTCAACTTGGACCTCCATTGCCAGGTCATAATGGAGCTCAACAGTTTTCTACAACTCCAGGATCTTCTCAAAATTCCAGTGGTATGAAAACTAAAGCAAATCTCTTCCTTTTTTCACTATTTTAATTATATCTGTTCTTTGAAGAGCAGGTAAGCAAAAGAGAATTACTAACAACTTGTCATCCTGAAATTCTCTAAATTATAGGCAATTACAGTACTTCTACACCAGTTCTCAATACTCAGAAAAGTGATTCATCTGTTAGTGATACCTCGCTTCAAATGGAAGTGGACTGTGAGAAAACAAGTTTATCTCAAGTAGATGTGGATTCTGGATTCGAGAATATGGAAGTGGATGATTCTGACAGCAAGAAGGACATCACTCAAAGACAACGAGTATGTCAAATTAAATAAATCTTTAGAAGAAAAAAAAGACATTTGCAAAATTTCAACTTACAAATCTGATTATTTTTCCTTTTTTTTGTTGCAGACTGTCAGCTCCAGTGCTGAAGTCACAGAAGACATAGTTCTTTCCACCATCTCTAGAGTACTCTGTGTGTCTTGGACTGATCGTACAGAAGCCACTGTTTTCTTGCCACACACTGCTGATGCCATTAAAGAAGCCAGGCAAGAAGATCCTGCTATGCCAGTTAATGTTCAGGTACATTGACTTCTAATGTGATTCTCACAAGTTTTTTTTTTATCAATGTATCGTTGTTGTTTTTTTTTTTACATTGTAAGTATTTTAATGTTCCCTATTTTTTAAAGGATCTTATTAGTCAAGTTCTTATGGAGGTTTTGGATCAGTTCACAACTGGTGAGAATCCGCTCACTTATGACCGCCCTGAATCCCCTGTCCCAATGTCCAGTAAAGAACAGCCAGCTGAGAGAAAAGAACCATCAGCACTTCACATTGTTCAGACAAAAGCCAGTAATGGTTTAAATTACCTTTTAGATTGCTATGCAAGAGTTGCTGTGGAGGAAAGGAATCAGCCTAAGGTAAATAAAAAAATAAAACATTAAAACTGAGGTATTTTTATGTAAGGAGGATTATTGTAATGTACGTATTAACATATGTTGTGTGACTACATTGTGGTCACCCAACACGCAATGTATTAATATCCTTTTGGTGTTGATGTGTTTCTTTCATTAACAGCGGAGCAGCACACCACCCTTAAAGGAAGTTCTTGCAGACATAAGAGCACAATGTGTTCAGTTGTCTTCTCTGCTCCTCCAAGGCATAGCTATGGAAATTGTGCCTCAACTACCAACTCCACTCTTATCTCCTATTTTGAATCAATCTCTTCCACGAGGATTCTTACCTGAACTGTTTTCTCGGACATACACGAATGATGCAGTGTTTTCCAATGTCTGTATCAGTTTTATTTGTCAAGTCTAATTTTTTCTATTTCTTTGTTTACTTAACTCATTCTAGATTTCAATTCCAGATAATGACTCCTGTTTTAAGAGGTTTGTTTGTAGGCATGCAATCTGCCTCAATTTTTGGTAACGCCCACAGAGTACCTATTCAAGCTCTATGTGATCTCCTTGAAATACGTTGTGGTCCTTCTGGCAATATCAGGCCTCTCTGCAATTTACTCACTCAGCAGGTATGAGCTTTATTTGCAATCCAGTTATTAGTTAATGAAAATTACATCTAATCCATTTTTTTAAAATCGTAAAGACTTTTAATTTATTCTTCGATACTAACTTTTATCATCAATTTTCTCTTTCTCAGGTTAACTTCCTGCCAGAACCTGTCACTCAAGCTCTGGGAAGAGAATTAGCTAGAACATCCTTCCTTGGTGCTTTCATGCAAGTTTCAGTCTTTGCTGAAGATGACCCAAAAGTGGCAGAGAAGTTTTTCTCGGGAAACACAAGCTCAGACAAAACATTGAATCAGACTTTACAACTAGAGCTGGACACCACAAGGGTTTGTATTCAGAGAGTATTGTTGCACATAAGGGTGAGCTCAAATTTTCAATTGAGTACAGTGCGTAATGCATAATTGGCCTGCTTTCTTTTTTACACAGCAATGTAGAGCTTGGCAAGTGAAATAGACATTTTTAAAGAATGTTCCTGTTCTCAATGATAAGTTGGTAACTTTTTGTATTACAGATAGCTTTGGCAAAATTATTTCATACAGTCCTTTTAAACCCAAGCTGTCGAGAACCAATGATGAACTGGCTTGCAGCAATGGTTAAACATAATGAAAGAAGGGCTCAACTTCAAACTGAGGAAAGTGCATTAGCGGGTGATGGCTTTATGCTCAATTTGCTCTCTGTCCTCCAGCTCCTAGCTGTTAAGGTATCTTGGAATAAGAATAATATTAATGGTCTTGCTAACCTGTCATTGGGCCTTAATCTACTGATTCATTCTTGTTGCAGATTAAATTAGAAAAAGTTGATCCTCTGTATGCTTTTCATCCTGCCACTGTTGTTGACATATCAAATGCTACTAGATTAAAATTCAGCAGTCAGGATGTTACTAATTGGATGGGAAGTCTAGGTGAATTGATCAACCTCCATATTTTGAAATAGTAATTCCTTTAATTTACCGTATTGACATTCTTGCCTTTTTGCCCCGGGCAGATGCTTCTGATATCCATACTTGGCAAGAACCTAAATTTCCAACTCAGTGTTGGTTTTTGACTTTACATTGCCACCATTTAGCTCTTCTACCAACTTGTAGCAAATATCAACTAAGATTACGAACTCTGCGTGAACTCCATAAACTGGTGTGCATTTTGTCACAATTGTTTTTACTACAACTATAACTAGCTATCAATTTTTTTACTTTTTCCCCTAAAAAAAAAAATGTTTCAGGTTGAAGAAATGACACAAACAGAGGCTCAGTGGAAAGACCTTCCTTATGCTGCGCGGAACAAAGATTTAATTCGCCGCTGGAAGCAACAGATTAAGGTAAAAATTGTTGCATATAAGCTTATAAAAACATTGCTGCTCAACAAAATCATTTTAAGAAAATAATTTTTTACCTTGCACTACCTAGAAACTAAACCGAAGCAAGGCTTGTGCTGACACAGCCCTTTTGGATGAAGCTCTTATTCGCCGTGCCATGGTGTTTTATACTTCAGTGGCTGAATTTTTAATGGGTGCTCTCACTGGATGGACAGCAGGCGGGCCACCACCAAGTATACCAATACCTCAAGAAATTCCACCTCTTTTTGCCGCCTTACCTGAGTGGTATGTGGAAGACATTGCTGAATTTTTGTTGTTTGCACTGCAGTGAGTATGCCCTTACATTACAAGGATTCACCTTTAGTCACTTCTTGCACTCAAGGAAATTTATCATGTTGTTAATGAAATGAACAATTACAGATTTTCCCCTGCAGTCGCTGCTGACGCTATGGAAGACTCATTGATCTGTTGGCTTCTGGTGGTTGTTTGTGCACCTCATTGCATTCGCAACCCTTACCTGGTGGCCAAAATAGTTGAGGTTCTGTTTGTAGTAAATCCTGGTATACAATCTCGAACTGAAACTTTACATTCTCGTGTCATGTCTCATCCCATTGCTATTGCACATCTACCCTCTTACCTGATGAAATTTTATACTGGTATGTTTGATTTATTTGTCTAGAAATATGTTGAATATATTTTTTAAACTGACACTCAAAATTGTGTCATTTCATTATTATTTTTTGATGCACAGATGTTGAAACAACTGGATCTAGCTCTGAATTTTATGACAAATTTACCATTCGTTACCACATTAGTATCATTTTAAAGGGTATGTGGGACAGTCCAATTCATATGCAAGCTATCAAGAATGAATCTCGGTAAGTTGATGACGCTTTTGTGATAGTATTCTACAAAGTGGTTTGAATGAGAGTCAATAAATGGGAATTTCTTGCAGCTCTGGCAAACAGTTTGTTAAATTTATTAACATGCTTATGAATGATACAACTTTCCTGCTTGATGAAAGCCTTGAATCTTTAAAGGTAATACTTCATCATCTTTAAATACACTTTTTGTCTTAATACATATCAAGGTTACATTGTTGAATTTTTGAGAATGATGTGAACTAAGTTAGAGTACCTTTCTTAATGTTCCAGCGGATTCATGAAGTACAGGAACTTATGTCGGATACCACTACATGGAGCCAACTTTCAAGTCAGCAACAACAAACCAGACAAAGACAGCTTTCTGCTGATGAACGGCAATGCAGGTTTGTTTTACCTCTTCATAAGCCGTATGAGCTTGAGCCTGTGAAAATGATTCTTAATGTATGCTTTTGTTTTAATCTGAATTCTCTCTGTGTTTGCAGATCATACTTGACCCTTGCCCGTGAGACTGTTGACATGTTCCACTACCTGACTGCTGGCATACAAGAACCCTTCCTGAGGCCTGAACTGGTAGATAGATTGTCAGCCATGCTTAATTTCAATCTTCAACAACTTTGTGGTCCCAAGTGTGAGTTTTTTTTTGTAAACTGATCAGGGATTTCTACTGCTTAGAGATGATTACTAAACAAAGTAATTTCAATTTTAGGTAAAAATCTGAAAGTTCGTAATCCCGAGAAATATGGTTGGGAACCACGCAAAGTCCTAAGCCAGCTGGTAGATATTTATCTCCACCTTGATCACAATGATTTTGCTTGTGCTCTTGCAGCAGATGAGGTAAATTTTATATATTTCCTCGATTATTGTTTGGTTGAAACTTATAATATTAACTTACTAGAATTTTTGTTTTAGCGCTCATTCCGCAAGGAATTATTTGAAGATGCAGCTGTTAGAATGGAACGTGCTCGCATCAAAACTGCAGATGATATTAAGAGATTTATTGCCCTTGCTGAACGCGCTCATGAGATTTCTGTCCAGAATATGAAACGAGAAGTAGACTTCAATGATGCACCAGAGGAATTTAGAGGTATTTTCAAGCTTGCTCACTCTTTTCTCATTCATTTGTTTTGCAATGTCCTTTTTCAAACTAACTTTTATTCTGTTTTCAGATCCTCTAATGGACACTTTAATGGAAGATCCTGTTCAACTGCCCTCTGGGAAAGTAATGGACCGACCTGTCATCATGCGCCATTTATTAAATTCCTCTACTGACCCCTTTAACCGTCAACCACTCTCAGAGGATATGTTGATGCCAGGTAAGTCAGTGCAGACTGCCATTTGTTTTCTAACTGGTTGATTGATTTCCAATGGCATTTTTATTGCACAAACCTCTTTTTTGGTACAGCAACTGAGCTCAAGGAAAGAATTACCTTATGGAAGCAAGAAAAAATGAAAACACTCTCATAAATGCTGATATTAAAAATAATTCTTTTTAAGAATTGATCTCTTGTCTCCGAGGATTTTGGTTTACTGAAGACGTACTGCTATCATAGAAGTGTTCCTCAAGTAATTATAGCATGTGATGATTGTTCTTCAATTAAGTTATTCCTCTTTGTTATCCCATTCTTCCTTTGTTTTTGTCTATCTTGTTTTGGGGAGTATAAGCTCAACTTCTTTAAAAGAGATTTACGATCGGAACGCAGCAAGCGTATCCACGCTAGCGTAGTGGTCAGATCAGGGTGAGGGGAGAGTGGAAGAGGACCTTACGAGTGTTGTTTTATCGCTAGCGGCAGAACTACGCTTGCTGCGTTGCTATCGTAAATCCACCTTTATTCCCTCAACAGTGAATTTGAAAATCCATTTACTTAATCAGTTCCCGATGAGACTTGTTTGAAATCATTAGTTATTATATTTTAATTTTTAATGTAATAATTGCAAGACCTGGCTGTGACAACTTTGCTTACATGGGCTTGTTTTGAGCTGCTATCCACACTGTGTGGCATCTTTGCCAGGACTGTTATTTTTTTCCTATTTTGTTTTAGTTTTGTTTTATATTATATTTGTTTTATGACATCTTTGAATCAATTTTGTTAAGGAAACAGTACATATGTGATCTTTATCTTGGTATGGCAAACATCTTCTTGTGCAAGTTCAGTTGTGAGAAGTATACGAAAAGATATTTAGTGTAGCAATTACAAACAAACATTTTGGGCAATTGAGGCATGAAAGTTTTCTGGAAACATAGCTATGACAAATATCAGAAAAGAAAAATTACATTGTTTTCTTAATTTTTTTTCCTAATGAACCCTGGGCTACTGGTCCAGAAGCATAGTATGGTAATTGAATGATCTGTTTGGTAATGTGTGAGTGAGGACTAAATCAAAATCTGATTCCTTAGCGCATCATTATAGTTTTTTAATCGATTCTGGTTGTTAATTGTATCTTTGAGAAAATATCTTGGCAGTATTACTTCTTGATAGTGCACTCTCACAGCTCTCTTTTAATAAACATAAAATTTAGCTGTTGTCTAGGTTGTTTTTTGTAAAGATTTTTATCATAGACAGCTGAATGCTGAACAATAGTAAATACTATCAGTTATGAAAAGAGAAAAGAAATGGATTTAGAAACGTCTGTAGGATTTCACTGCCAAAATCCAATGTTTCACTGCTACAATGAAGTTAGCCTCTCTGAAACGCACAACACAGTTAAACTACTTAAAATTACTTTCGCTCTGTTTGGGTATTCAAGAGTAAAAGTGATGAGGGTATTTTGCAATCATAAAAAGTTGAAGTATGCAAATGATAATCCATATAATTGGTGACCGAGTATCTCACATTGTTGCTTTGAATTTGTTTTGTTTTAACGCATCCCAGGAAACACAGTTGAATTCGCAAGAAAATATGATACTTTTAAGATAATAAAGGCGGATGGGGCTCATGAGGTGAGGCTGCTCGCCTCGGACTGTTATTGTGCTGGTAAGTCCAAGATTTGAGGCCAGAGGTCTCTGTTGAGGCAGCTGTCTCCACCATGAGACAAAATCCAACATAGATGTAACAGAGGTTCAAAGAAATTAGACAGTAGGGGAAGAGTAGGCCTACTTGGTGTACATAGGTACACAGATATGTGGGCTATATGTTTAACCTTTGTTAAATTAAAACACTCTTATCATCAAAATTATGGTTGGACCAAACTTGAACTGAACTTAAAAAAATTATTGACCAAATCAAGACATTTACAGGAAAAGAAAAAGAGTGAGAGAGAAAGAGAGACAAAGAACGAATGAACATCTACCTAAATTAATCTGTACATGTAATCCTAGTGCTCTGCTTTAATTTTCTCAGCAGAACACTTTTCGTGCAACAGGTCCACAAACATTACGCTGTTATTAGGGCTTTTAGACCCGCTTGGCATGAAAAGTGTCAAATACCGTAAAGCTGCAAAGACAAAATGAGAAATTGGACTATCACATTGTGGAGATTGATTGATTGTTTGATTGATTAAGACTGAACTTGTTTCTTATGTGACTGTCTTCCATTGTGTTTGTGCTCAGGACAAAAGAAGTCATTCTACACGTTCAATCTTTGATATTGACTGTGTGCCAACAAAATTTTATCAGCACATTTATACACTGAAAATATTTGAATTCTGGTGTAACGAGAAAATTACCTCAGTGTATCTAGAGGGGTAGACAAATCTAGAAAAACGTGATCCACAGTGCTTCACGTCACTCTCTGTGTTAATTGAGGGGAGATTACTTTCAGTAACTTCCTTTACTGTAAAATATTAAAAGTGATATAATGGAAAATGAGATGTAATGTTGTGTGTTGACGAATTTTATTTGTTACTTTGCTGTTAGCGTTTTAGGTCCCTTCTTCATTGGTGATGAATGTGGCATTCCATGCCTTCCTTTGAATTAACCTTTTGGGTGTAATGCAGTAAATACTGCACTGATAATTAATAGTCCTACACTAGTGGTATGACAAATAGTCCAGAGAAAAGAGTCCCAAGTCAAATAGAGTAGATTTCACTAGTCTAGTTCTTTGCCTGTCTGTTGGGTTTATTAGAGAACCCTGTTACTTCAGTCCATACATATTTAATAAAATTAGAAAACTTACCAATCCAGAGCTTAAAATTGAATCACTAATTTATGTAAAAAGCAATTGTGTTTAACTGTAAAAGACATCACAAAATTCAGAAGAAAAAAAAAAACAACACCAAGTTCTAAAGTAATTTGGAGAGCCTTAAAAGTGGGCTCACACTTACACACTTGGAAATTTTGAAATTGTGATGTGTTTGCCTGTAAATTTGTATGTACAAAGTTAAGAATTTTTTTATTTCATACTGTGAAAATTGTGAGAAAGGAAAGATATTCAATGTGTTTATTGTAAATAGGAAGATATTTTATGTGTCATGAAAAATAAATTTACTGACGTGTAGACTTGATTGACCTACATGTCAAAATGAGTGGTTTCTATATTAGAAAGTGTTCTTTTGTTCGAGGAATTCTCAAACTAAGCATTGAGTTGAATTTTCTGCTTTCCTCTAGTTCTCTCAGGAGCTGCGTAATTGAATGAAAATGAGTGGAGTTTAAGAATCCATTCTACTTACCACATCTACATTTAATAAAAAAGCAAATATAAATAACCAGACATATCACTTTTCATATTCTCAAAGAGTACAACACATCTCTAACATGTGCTGTGAACATTTTAAAAATTATACCCCGTTCGGCCTATCAGCATCAGCAGTAAAGCAAGACAGCCAAATGAGGCATTTTCTCTCATTTTAATGGAAGATAATAAATAAATAAATAAATTAGTGTTCTAGTATTTACGAGGCAGATTTACCTTTGGCCACACAGTATATGTAACGTAACAGAGTCAGAATTTTGTCAGCTATCATAGAATTGCTGCAAAAAGAAAGAAAAAAAGAGCTGTGTGTCGAGGGCAACACGTCATACTGACCAGATTGCTTCTTGGAACAAAATTTCTGTACACACAATGAAAAATAAATCACCAAATATTTTTCTTAACATAACATAATTGTTATGTTAACTACTTGATCATCCCTATGCAAAATGATATGAGCTCACCAAAATATGTCACAATTCCTACCATCACGGAGATGAAAAAGTATTAAGAACACTAAAAATTAATAATATAATAATCCTTTACTATGTGAACTCTAACAGGAACACAAGCACTTATAAAGGATTTTATGAAAGTAATTTCTTTTAACATAAAATCAAGTTTGTGTTCAGAGAACATCAGTCACAATTGTTTTTATGTACTTAAAAAAAGCACTTATTGTCATGACACACATCAATACCGATGCTTATCTCCATATATTAAGTAACAGTCCACTGTAGGTGGCCATAACAAAAATATATATGTATACATAAATAAATGGGTTCATAGATCCTCCCTTCTCAAAGATAAAAATTTCACAAACCTAATTAGGACAAATACAACTAACCTCACTGTAAATGTCAACCTTACTAAAAACAAAGAACATTTCTCTGCATTAGAAAGCATAGGCTCCATCCGATATATTGCAGGTAATATAAGAAAAAACTGCTATAGCTTAAGTACAAGCTGCCAGGGTTGCATCATATATACATGGTATTCTTTTCTTTACAAAATAGGAAGATACTGAGTTTATTGTGTGAACTAGATAGATACTGACAATAGATACATAAATAGTTTGAAGCCCCAAAACAAGAGGAAACCAGATGGACAAATTCAATTCAAGACAGGTAAACTGAGAACTGGCAAGAAGTAAAGCAAAATAAGTTTTAAGAAAATGAGATTATGAACAATCAAAGTTTTCTGATCTAAGATTACAATAAAAGTACAGAATGAAGTACATCTACATACTGCAATTTAAAATATAGCCCTATTTAGTTCCGTATGAAAATTCAGTCAGAACTCTATGACTTTACACGATAGAAATTGAATTAAATTTGGCAGTGCCCTAAGAAATTTAGGCGCTTAATTTCTCTTCTAGACAGTCCGGGAACATGTATTAGGAGTTGTAACCTATGTAACAGTCGATTGCTTTCCAGCTCGCAGAGGATTAATGCAACCTTCATTGTGTGCCACAGTTTCATAAGCAAATTGCTAATTTCAATTTTACCTTTCACTGTTGTTTAAAATACAAGCATGATTTCCTACAGTTCACAGCAAAGGGTCCTATTCCGTCACAAATAATAGTGTTCTTGGCATTTCAAAACTGCAACATGAAAAAAGCAGGGTATGATAATAATTTAATAATAACTATTGGTTCAAAAAGGGTAGTTGGCTTGTTTCTACCATACTGATGGTAAGAACATACAAGACACCAAAGAAAAGGTTTAACTTGGCTGTTTTCTGGGGCACTTTCTGAATTGTTTCTGGATTTCGGAATTGCTTCTCAATATCAAAAGCAGCTGGTAATGTAACAAGTGGGAGTAAAAACCACAGACTAAGTCTCACACCTAATACAACAAATAAAATATAAGGAGTAAATAAGAGGAAAGCATACAAAATATGGGATGCTGTATGTCCAATAAGTATGGCTAAAGTAACAATACCAACGCGTTGATCACTTTCTAAGTCTCGAGTGTTGTTACTATGAAGAATTGCTTCTGTGTTTAAAGCAAGAGGAATGGCATAATAAATAGTAGCAAAATCTATCCTCCCTGTTTGAGACATGAAGGCAAAGAGAACAGATATAGGACCAAATATAATTAAAATTAGAACATCACCTAAAGCTATGTATTTCAGACCAATGCCTCCAGTATATAAGAAAGAACTTGATAGTCCACCAAAATACACTAATGCCAGATGCTCCATTTTAGCTGGTGATGTTGCAGCAAGGAGGAGGAAGCCTATAGATCCAGCAGCATACAACATACCACCCAGAGTAGCAACTTCATCTTTTGATAAAATGTGATCCACTAATGTTCGATCATCACTTTTCCGGCCATCTATGCCTTTCACATAATCAAAATATGTATTAACAAGATTACCTGCTCCATGAACACACAGAACAGTAAAGAGAGTGAGTAATAATAATACCCAACTAAACAAGCCGGCGTTAGGACTCAGCTTGTACGCAAGAGCACACCCAGTCAATGTTGGCATTAACGATGCACTTAAGGACCATGGTCTTAAGGCTAGAAGATACGATGACAGTTTCATCAGGGTTGGTTTTGAATCCAGCTGTGCAGACGAAGATGTCTGATGAACTGTCTTGGTTGATGGTCCATTATCCATAGTGAGATATCCTGAAGACAATTGATTAGGAATTAAAACAAGGCAAAAATCAACACTGAAGAATCAGTTATTGTGATTGTGGCCTACATTTTCTCACATATGGCACAACAATAACAGAAAGTTCTAATGGTTACAATGTGTCTAGTGAATTCGCAATTTTAAAGGCAATCCAATAACATTGGGCTTAACTTCACAAACTTGGCTTAGAAATAAAATATTTTTTTAAATAAATCCAAACTTACAGATGGTTTAGTAAATACACGGGAGTAAGTTGAATGAAGATGAGAAAATCAAGGATGTTGAAGAACATAAATACGATATCTGCGTATCATAGAAAGAAGTTGACTTTCTCCGTGGTTACGTTTCGTCTTATAACGTAGGAAAACTACAAAGTTTCGAGCAAATATATACGAAAGGCTAGGCTAGGCTGACCCTTTTAAAGCCCTTCGCAACAACGGTGCTGTTGGGCGGATATAGCTTGCAAGGATGCGTGGCTTCCTTGGCCTTCTGCTATATGTGTTTCCGCTCTCTGCCTGTGAGAAGTCCCTGTGTTGTGTTGAGTGTTGACGCCAGACGCGAGGCGAGACGCGCACTCACAGCAGTAGCGGACGGTGATGGGTGATTGAGCTCTGCTGACTTCTGTCAGCTTTTGATTCTGACCAGATTTTCTGATTCAAACCAAAGCAGGGGAATGTCTTCTTACAAACGTACTTCATCTCCTTTCCTTAAAATAGCAAAAAAGTTTAATTGTTTTTACATTAATGGTACGTATGCGGTCCTTTCTAGGTAGCGTTTGCTTTTTAGTCTTGCGATCATACGCCGATAATTTCGTTCCAATCCAATACTCACATTTGTAGCTTTTGATTTCGCATATGCTTTCGACGTATATTACCATTTGTATTTCCAATGCTGCTTTGGCAATCTTTTCCCTGATTGACAAAAATGTTTTCTTGTTTTCTGTAGACATTCTTTTAGGTTAAAGTTATGTCAAGTTAGGTCAAGAGCTGTTGAACTTTGATTTCTTTGGTGAAAGGTGCTAATATGAGATTAGACAGTATTTGTAAATGTGCTTTGTGTAATCTTTTGACCACGATGCCAAGTGATTGTTTAGTCCACGAGTACTACTCAGTTTGAACACAGGGTAGGCTGGTAGGGTCACATCTATGTGCACTCCTAGCACAGGAAAGGAAATGGCATGCCAAATCAGTGCCATTCATTCTGCTATTATTCAGTTGTTTGTTGTATTGTCTTCTCAAAATTTGTGTCTTTTGTTCAAGTCCTATGGGCTTTTGTATTGTTAGAAGTTTTCAATTGAAAGGTCATTACGCATTTAATTTTATCAATAATTTTTATAACCAAAATTGTGTTTATTAAGTCACTTGAAATGATGGTTTTTAATTAATTTCCCATTATTTTTGTTTATCGCAGGACTTCCCAAAAGACACTGCAAGCCATTTGTTGTTGAGGGCCATCAGGTTGGACTTGTACGACCTGATATTATGGTTGAACTGCTTCGTTATCCTGAAGTCTTCATTGTAAGGCCTGATTCAGTTGAACTCAACCCTGCTTTTCGTGACTTTGATGAAAGAACTGCTCGTGTAGAGCAGGTTCTCCAGGAATGCCGAGCAAATAACACATTTGTGACCCTTAAGGGATGGAGGAATGAGGTAAGAAGCATAGATAAGTAAAGGAACAATTTTTTATTTTTTTTAAATGAAAATGTTTTTATATATCCCAATTTTGTTTCTTTGTGTATATTTCTAGTGTTACAATGTGCACTCAGTTTTAACTGATCCGCCACTCCTCCGCATGGACCGATCTGCAACTTGTATGTATAAAAGACTTAAATCTCCCCTTTATTTCCTGTACGTTAATCAGTTGAAATTATCTATTAATGCTATTTGCATGTCGTTTGTTTCACAGGCTTGTTTGGTATTCGCAATTATGGTGTAACTATTAATGGCTTTGTCCATGATGCAACAAGAGGTCTATGTTTGTGGCTTCAACGACGATCTCCTACTAAAGAGACTTGGCCTGGCAAATGGGACAATATGGTAACAATTATATCTTTTCCATTTCAAGATATTAGATTGCTCTCAGTTTTCATTCTTATTATATCAAATTATAGGTGAGTGGAGGATTAAGTGTTGGATATGGAGTTATTGAAACTGCTATCAAAGAGGCCCAAGAGGAGGCAGGCATACCAGAGACAATGCTGAAAGATATAAGACCTTCTGGTGCAGTGTCGTAAGTCTAGTTTTTTTCCTCTTCAGTGTATCTTCTGAATATTTGTACATTTCTTCCAACTGTCCTAATCTTTGTGTATATCTGTAGGTTCTTTTTTGAAAGTGAGCGTGGACTGTTTCCCAATACAGAGTATGTATTTGATTTGAAATTGCCTTGCGAGTTCATCCCTAAAAACAATGACGGGGAAGTTGAGACTTTCGACCTCTTGTCCATCAATGTATGTACCAATAATTTTCTTTGTAGTTTCTTTTCTATTGCCAAAGCAAATTCAAAGTTTTTATGATTATATTATTATGTATCTGCACAGGAACTTAAGGAAATAATTGCTTCTCCCGACTTTAAGACGACAAGCTCACCAATTGTGATAGACTTCCTTGTACGCCATGGAGTGATCTCCCCCGAGACTGGTGGGTTGGGTAGTCTCCAAGGTACATGTTTTGTGCATGCTAGCTTTTGGTTGGGGATTTGGTAGTCGCTGCTAACCCTGCTCTCATGCCCAGGGATGTTCAATTTTCAAGTGTTATGTTAGAGCTTTTAAAAAAAATACACGGTACAATATATTTTTTCTTTGGGAACTCACGTCCATGTGGGTTGTGTGGATAAAGTGAAGACACAGGTATGACACGTCGTTCATTGTAATATTTTCATTTTTATTATATAGGATTGGTTCACTAATATTTGTAGTGGGGATTTTCTATGGGTAGTCTTTGGCATGCGTACAACTTTTCTCAGTCTCGACAAATTGTTCTCTATTATATTTTCTTCCTGTACAAGTCCTGTATACTTCCTGTATTGGTATTTGTACTCTTCCTGTGTCTTGTCTTCCACTTTCAGCATGTTAAATGGCTTTTGCACTTCTCTGGCTATTCTTTCTTATTTGGTGAAGCATGTGTGTTCTAGTATATTTCTGTTTTGTCCAATTCTATTGCCTTTGTAGATACATTTGTATACTTTTTATCCAGTAGAATTGATACGTCTATCTTTGCTTGAAATGTGTTATTTTTATATGGTTTGTGTAATTATGTACCTTTTCTTCAATTGAACTGATGGCTTAATCTCTTAACCAACTGGTAATTGACATTGAGTCCAAATCTTAACCCTTTATCTCAGAAAAATGTAAGATTCTTTTACTTTATTTGGTGGCTTTCTAATGCTTACTTTGTTTTTCAGAACCTAACTATGCTCAGCTGCTTGAACTTCTTCACGTTCCTCTTCAGTCAATATATCATCGTGCACCTCCCTCTGAGAATGGAGATAAAGTTCTTTGACTTACTGGCAATTAATGTAACTGGATCATGGAGATATAAAGGTGAGGGCAAGTATGTGACTGTGACTATATGTGTGTGTCTAGAATGTATGTGTATTAAACTGAGCAGACCAGATTGATTCATTTAATCTATAACACTTTCTTTTCTACATCAAAGGTTCTTACCCCGTTATGTCCATCAGAACTAGTGCCTTGGCAGAGGAGGAAGAACTTCTTGAAGAAGGAATTATAGTCATAAACCCCAGCCAAAAGTATAGGTCCAAAAGAACATTCCCGTTTTACTGCTTCCCATTTTAAAAAGAGCAGTTACAAGCTGCTGCAAATCAAAAATGTTTCAAAGAATCTTGGAAATTATTTGCACATATTCTTATCTAGTTTCACATAATTACCACAACCTAGTTGAAATGAATCTCGAACATTTTTGTTTGTACTTCATAATTACTGCATCATGTTATGGCTGCTTTCCACAACTGATTAGTGACTAGATTAAAAAGAAATATTAATAACAGAAGTTCTAAACTTACATTCTTGTGTTATTTTTGTTTTTTTTAAATGTGGTATAGCTTGTGACATAACTACAAATTTTGAGTTTAATGCTGCATCTGAGCACTTTTGACAGGGATTCTGTATTCGCTGTTTTTCCTCCTCACACAATAAATATCCTGTGATGTGAAGAGTTATTCTCTGTGCAAATGTGTTGGTGTGTGTGCTGGTGTTTCATGATGCATGGCAATATTATGGTTCACCTTCAACATGCACTACGATTGCAGTGAATTTGTTTCTGCCAGGAATATTTTGAGCGGAATTATTTGTCATTTGTATTAGAAAGTTAGCTCATGTGCTTTCCAGTATGACTAGCTCATCCATGAATGATGGACAGTCAATGTTGTAATCTCTGAAACTCATGGTTATGTACTTTACATTTTAGCTAAGAAAGTAATTTTAGCATTTTATGTGATGCTTTTAGTTATGTATGTATCTTCTTTACATAAGTATAGTGTTTAGGGGATGTGCAAATGTTTACACAGAAGTATTATGTTATAGATTTCTGGATGGGTTTTATTATTACTTTCGGGGAAACGATAATTTTAAAGGATATGATAACGCTTAAAAGTTGTTCTATATCTATTCGTCTGCAATTTTGCTCCATGATGTGATCATTTATCATGTGCGAGCTGTGTGTGCAATTTTAATGTTGATAAACATAGTCACGAGGTAAAATTAAATGCTATTACTGATTTTTTTTAAAGCCCTTGTTGAGGTGTTTTTTAAAGGGTGTCTTCATGTGATATGAAGATTGAAAATGGATGCTTGGCAAAGTCTAGTATGTTGTCCAAGAGTTGTACTTTGTGTACAGGAAGCAGAGAAAGCTGAAGATGTTATTAATCAACTTGCAATACCCTAATTAACTTTTAAGCTGCTAATGATTTTAACTTTAAGTACTTTTAAGTGACAATTTTATCCAATTATATAAAATAAATCAATTGCACAGCCTCAAGAGAGTTTCTTGTGTGAAATAATTTGCTTTCTCTGCTTTCTTTATATTATCTACATCAATGTGGCTATCAATCTCGTACAATCTAGTCTGTTTCTTTGGCAAATTTTTCTACCACCATTTTCTATACTAGTCTAGGTTTTTTCATGAATGCTATTAAAGTTTTCTAGTCAGGCAAAGTTTCTTTCTCTTGTTTTGCATCTGGATGTATTTTCAACTGTAATTTTATGTATTCTAATAAGGTACTTTGGTTAAAATAAAGGTGGTTGCTTCAAAAAATGGGTTTTCTTTTGGCATATCTTTTTCAGAACCATTGGTTTCAGGAGCAAAAAGATTTCATTACAAGATTCCATTTTCACATTATTATTCACATAAATTACATTGTACAGCATGGGACACAATCCAATTACAATAGCTACAAAATTAATACTGGATAATAGCCTGATCAATGTAAATCCTCATATTTACAACTAACATTGTTCTCAGAATATTCACTTACTCTGCTCCTAGTTGTGCCAAATTGCAAAAAAGGAAGCAACAGACAAAATTTGCACACTACACAAGAACACCATGGGTACATGCAGACATCAACTCAGGAAATGAAAATCGGGTTGACACAGAAAAAAAATTAACAATGCTATTGGCCATGACCCATGGCCATACTGCAAAGTTGACTTTAATGTTAAATGGCATTATCTTAACCAGTCTTCGAAAGAACACCAAAGAAATATCAGGTGATGTGTAATATAGAACACTAACCAGACATATCTTTCCTTCTAAAACATTTGTTTTACACACGGACACAATTGAAAAGAAAGTGGGGTAGTGTCATTTTATAAGTGAGAACTTCAATAACTAGATTGAAACAATTTTAAGTAAATTGAAATGGAGATAGGCAGAAAGCTCACTGGAATCACAATTAACTGTCAGTCTGACTGATAGGTACATCGTTGAAATAAAATGCAAAGAGATCTTTTTTATAACTCATCATGGTCTTGCTCTTCTTCCTCAGCTTTGTCATCTTCTTTGTTTGAAGCATCTTCATCAACTTCTTCTTCCTCTTCAACTTGCTCATCAACGGGAATACCAAGTGTCTGTCTCATCATTTGTTCAACACTAGCAGCAAATTCTGCTGTGTCTTTTAGTAAATACCCTGATCTTAAAGTAGCTGTTGGAAAACAAGAGTAAGGAATCAGTATTTATCTTAAGAAAGACGATCTGAAAGAAGAAGGAATGACAGTGACTCGGCAAGATCTTTTGAGTAAATTACTAACCTGTTCTAAACATCATTACAGCCATTTCCTTTGCCACAGGGTCTTGAGAATTGACTTCTACTCTCTGGAGGAGATTTTTAATCAATGGATGCCTAGGATTGATTTCCAAAGTTTTCCTCTGATTGAGGTGGTAAGCTCGGTTAGGGTCATCAGCTTTTTGATGAGCATTACTAACAGCTAAGCGCTCCATGTTGCCAGTCCAACCAAACATACTTGCAACCAATGCACAAGGGGAGTCAGACAAGCGCTCAGAGACTGCAGCCTTTGCAATCTAAATTATAGGAAAAAAGAAAGATTAGATTAAAAACTTGATCAACAAGTTAAAAGCCATGAAAACGAGTTATGCTTCAAAGATATTACAGTACATAAATTTATTTTTAAAAATGCCATTTTATAATTTTGTACCTGATCCTTCAAGGCCTCATCAGCAAGCCATTTGGTTAGGGGGTCAAATGCTTTGACAGCAGCTTCATGCCTGTCTTTGTCTGCATCGGAGAGAGAGAAACCTTCCTTGGCTACATTTTGGAATTTCTTGCCCTCAAACTCAGGAAGAGCAGTGATACAGTATTCATCAACAGCTTCAACTAAATAGAGAACTTCATATCCCTTCTTGCGCAGTCTTTCAACAAATGGAGATTGCTCAACCTACAGTCAAAGAAAAATGTTAAAATACATAAAATTAAACTACATACACAGTTGATGAAGTTTTAGATCCAAAGGTACTTGACTCACCTCCTCTCGGTTAGCACCAGCCAAGTAATAAATGTGTGTTTGTTTGGGTTTCATACGATTAACATATTCCTCCAAAGATGTCATCTCTGGCTGATTGGATGAGTGGAACATCAAAAGTTTAGCTAGTCTGGAACGATTTGCAGCATCTTCGACAACCCCAAGCTTGATATTGGTGGAATATTCCTTCCAGAATTTCTTGTAAGAAGATTTGTCCATCTTTTTCATCATATCTAACGCCTTACGAACCAGCTTCTTCTTAATAACTTTAAGCAATTTGTGCTGCTGCAAGGTTTCACGGGAAACATTCAAAGGTAGATCATCAGAGTCAATCACTCCCTGAATAAAACTAAGGTAGTTGGGGAGCATTTCTGCGAATTCATCAGTGATAAAAACACGGCGAACATATAATTTAACATTATCACTTTTGGTTCCATAACGGTTGAATGATTCACTTGGTAAAACAGATGGAACATACAGGAGTGATTTGAAAGTCACTTCACCCTCAGCGACAAAGTGAACTTTGCCAAGAGGCTTATTGGAATCTTTGGTAAGAGCCTTGTAAAACTCATTATATTCTTCATCTGTAATGTCAGCTGGTTTACGGGTCCAAATTGGCTTACTATCATTGAGAATCTCCCAGTCCCACACTGTCTTTTCAACAGTTTTAGTCTTTGGTTCTTCAGTCTTATCCTCCTCAACCTACAAACAGAGGGCGCATTAATTTAAATCAACAAAACTAAATATTCTTGACTCTCAACTTTTTCTATACATACCTGAGCTTCTTCATCATCAGCTGGTTTCTTAGGTTCCTCAGATTCTTCCACAGGTTCTTCTACTTTCTCAGTCTTGCTGGACCACAGGTAGATAGGGAAATTAATGAACTGGGAGTACCTCTTCACCAAATTGCGGATTGTGTCTTGCTCCAAATAATCACTGGCCTCTTCTTTCATGAACAGAGTAATCTGTGTTCCACGCTTAAGTGTGTTTCCACGAGGGTCCTTGGTTATAGAGAAGCTAGATGCATCAGACTCCCAAATATACTGTTCATCATCGTTATGCTTTGTAGTAACAATTACTCGGTCAGCTACTAAGAAAGATGAGTAGAAGCCAACACCAAACTGACCAATCATGTCATTCATGGTCTGTTTCTCTGCAGAATCTTGCATTTTGCTAAGGAACTCAGCAGTTCCAGATTTAGCAATGGTGCCGAGATTGTTCACCAAATCTTTTTTAGTCATGCCAAGTCCAGTATCTGTTATATGAAGAGCACGGTTTTCTTTGTCTGTTTTAATCTTGATTGAAAGTTCTTCAGTAGCTGACAAGTTTGACGGATCAGTCAGGGACAGTAGTCTTATTTTATCCAGTGCATCAGAAGCATTAGAAATCAACTCTCTGAGGTAAATCTGATGAGAAATATTTTTATATAATAAGTCATTTGGAAAGCTGGTTAAATAGATTATTTAAAAATCAAAAACAAACGTACCTCCTTGTTCCGATACAAAGAGTTGATGATGAGTTTCATCATTCGGTTCACTTCAGCCTGGAATGTGAATTTCTCTGCATTCTCTCTAAGTTCTTTGATCTGAGCAGCATTTAATCCATCTAGTTTAATAGCCTCTCCTTCACGTTGTACAGCTTCAGCATCTGAAAATCAAGCAGACCAAAACTGTTCATAACTCGTTTTTCTTTTAGAATTCAGTAGAAAGGAACGTTTTAGAATCATACCTGTCCTTGAGCCTTCACGACTTACGCCCAGGTCGACATCAAGATTAACAGAGTCTGAGACTACGTCATCAGCAAAAGACAGGTCGGTCGCAAATCCTGACAGAGAAGAAAGTTAAAGTTCAAATCAAACATAACAGTGGATGAATTTTTGAGGCTCTGACAGATGAAATAGGATGCAGAGACCCATAAATACCAAAGAGAGATAAAATCAAATCTGATGGCTGTATTTGGACAGGTCAATTACAGGTCAATTAATCATAACATGGGAATGGAGCTAACACAAAATGCAGAAATTTAAAATTCAGCTAAAGAAAACCTCCCAGTACATAGATATGATGTAGTACTACCAGAGCTTTACAGGAAAGAACGCCGAACGTCAAATAAAATAACCTGAAGACAATCGTCTGCTATTGACAGCAAATACTTAAAGTATATCATAACGCGACTCACCCACTAACAAGGAAACTCCAAGTAGATAAACTAATAACGGAGACCTCATTCTGAACCGATGAAAGGCTTTCCAGCCTCAACGGGGACCAGAAATGATACTGCACTACGTCGTCGGGTTGTGGTTTAGCCGTCAAGTACTTGTAAATGGAGACTTCGTCGGGAAGATTCGGCGAGCCAATCATTCACAACCACGCGGGAGATGCTGTTTTGTTTCTTATTTGTCGCGACGTGATTGGTCGGTCGCCAGGAAAGCTTCTTGTCGTACCAACTCTATGATCACAACCTAGAGAGTGAGACACTTGGCAGGGCTGGGGCTAGGTGACCGGCTCTAAAGGGCCAAAGAAGGGCCAAATGCGGCGTGCGGTACTGCTTTTTAACACTCGTCAAAACTCAAAAACAATTATGCGCCAAGATGAGGTTAGGGCACGTATCCCCACTCCGCTCTTTTACGCTAGCGGCTGCGCTTTACGCTCTCTAGTACGTATGTCTGTCGGTGTGTGTGTGTGTGTGTGTGTGTGCGTGTGCGTGCGTGTGTGTGTGTGTGTGTCTGTCTGTCTGTCTGTCTGTCTGTCTGTCTGTCTGTCTGTGATGAGTAAGCGGTCCCCCTGATGCTCTCCTTCGGTTTCGGCTAGTTGTGAGTTGTGATATTAACTCTAGCATCCTGATGTTACATTACTGCCCTATAAGACCAAAACAATCTTCCAGCGCATATCACACATACGCAAACACTGACATAAGGTCGCGCGCTCTCACACACACGCACACACCCAGTGTCATTCGGTCATTCCCCCATTCAACCCCTTAAAATGCTAGCGGGGTGTGGTTATTCGCTTTGCTGTACCCGTTCGGGGCTGGGGAACCTGGGGTACATGTACCTCGGTTTGAGCGAGGATTTGAAGCGAACCCCGTCGGGGTACGCACCCGGGAGGGACCGCAGACCGAGGTCCGTACCAGCCTCGAACCCCAGACACCGCTTGTCGTAGCCATGGTGTTATTCCCCCATCATTTGTATGTAAATACCAGGTGGCTGATTAACCCCGCGCGCTTCTGTAGTTAGAGTTAGACTGTACCGCACGCACGAGTGCGGGCGGGTTGCCTACTCGCCCGGCCCCTAAGGCGCCGTGGACGGAGACGATTTTTTTTTTTTAAACGATAGGATAGCCCGCCCGCACTCGTGCGTGCGGTACAGTCTAACTACTGAAGTGCGCAGGATTAATCAGCCACCTGGTACATCTCTGAGCGTCCTCATACTAGCAAGTTTAGAATTGTATCGTTCCGACCTAGCTTTTGAAATGCGCGGTTGTAAGCACCAGGCCGGATAACGCGCTCGCGGCTATTCGCACTAACAGCCCAAATATTTATTTTGGAGCACCCCACGCCCCCTGCCCCCTGGTTCGTCTATTTTATTATTAAAAGTGTTCTTATCAAATTGCGCGATTTATGCCTGTGTTACTGGCAGCCAAGCACATTTTAATTTCTGTCCGATTTTTTTTTTATCAGTTTGCTAGCCTCATTTCGGTATGGCTGCTGCTGCAGCAGTCCGTGTTGTTTTGTTTGCGTTCGTTCAGTTTTCATCGAGGAGGCCGAAATTTTCCTGACAGGTGTCGGCCTAAAATTGTAGTTTTGTTGGATTTAGACCTCTTGCGCTATGAAAGCGCTCTACTTACTCGAAGTTCAAGGAATGTGTCAGCTTTGTTAGACGGTTGTACTCATTCCTTCTCTCGGAATTCCGTTCTTCTCTGGATAATCAAGGTCAGTAAGGATGCATCTTGCCTTGAAACCGACGCATGGGTTTTCATGTAATTGATCTTAGCTTTTAAATTCAAAAATTGTTTGAAAGATTATTGAGAGCGAATCAATGATGATTTGTCTCAGTATATGCTAGAGGGATGGATTTTACCCCTAAGTTTGTTTTTGCTTGCAAAAGTAAACAAACATTTGTCTGCTATGTTTACAATTCATTAACTTTTAGAACATAGCATTGCATTATTTGTTATGAATAATTATTATGAATAATTGCAGTATACCAATTTCTAAAGAAAGATTGATTCTCAAGTGATATTTTGACAATTTTTTTTCTAATATAGACTCCATTCTAGTGCTGAGGTTATGCGACATTCCAAAGATCCCATTTCGCACACTAGCTCATTTCTTAGTCAAAAAATGGAGTATGTCATCTGTTAGTTACTGTGCGATCTGGTACTATTGGATTTTCTATTACACTAGCATACTAATTTTTCTGAGCTTCCACATACTGGTAACTGTATAGTAAAATGAGTACAGTTAGCAAGTGCTTGTTTTCTGTATGGTCTATATCTGAACAGGAAATGTTCACTATGTCTTCATATCTCTTGCTGGATGCAGTTTTGTGCCATAACATTGATGATTGAGGAGCCTCCCAATCCTCAGTTTGTAACAATAATGGCTGTTTTTAATTTGTTCCTATCACCCACATTTAAGGCTTGCAACTCTTCTTCAAACGCTCAGCATTTTTACCCTTCTTAACATGCTAAGACCACATTGTGGTCACACTTCTTTGAGAGACCCCTCTAAACTCATAATTTACTTTTCCTTACCTTTTCATCGCTAGTTCGTGTATGAGTTGTTCTGCAAGTAGTGTGTGCCCTGCACTCTCGCGATAATTTCACCGGCCCTCGATATTTACATTAAATCTTCCTTATTCTCACCTTCAAATCGGACAAATGGTTAACATAGGTTATAGCTAGGTATAGCCGACCGGATTTGTTCTGCGCTTACGCGTTTGTGTGTGTGACGTGCATTTCTGACCATGGTGGAAGAAGCTACCTCGGTTGGTCAGGTCAAGGGTACCAGGTGATCAGTCCAAGGGGCTGTCCAGCTTGAAGCCGTGCTGGAGCCGTCGCTGGGGCCGTCGCTGGAGCCGTGCGAGGCACCCCAGGACACCGTGACAGCCAGTTGCGCAATGTCGTGTCACGCGTCTGTGGCCGGTGGCCCATGGGGTGACCCATGGGGTGGCCCATTGGATGGACCATTGAGTGTCCCATACAGGGTGGGTGATCCGCGCCGTGGTTTTATTCTGCTTAGACTGTACCGCATTCATGCGTGCGGACGGGTTGTATAGTCGCACGGGGCCGTAAGGCGCCATGGCGAGCGACGATAGGCAAGCCCGCCCGCACGCATGAATCCGGTACAGCATAAGCGGAAAAAACCACGGCGCCGATCACCCGCCCTGTATACAGTGTCCCATCAGGTGGCACATTGGGTGGCACATTGGGCGTTCCATATGGCTATGGCCCACTAAAGGGCAATAGACGGCGCGACCGTCACTAAACTCTGGGAGCGATGTGCGTCGGGCCCAGCGGTGGGCTATTTAAAAGGCAATTTTGCGACCTTTCAAATGCACCACCGTTGATCCAAATCCGAGGTAGGGGTGGGGAACCCGACGCGCATCGCGTCCAAAGTGCAGCGGTGGCCCACCCTGGCCCTGGTCTTGGGGGGCCCTATTACTACTCACCCTTCCCTATAGGGCGGCCCATCGGCCCATAGGGCGCTGCGGGAAGCTGACTTTGTCTAGGCCTCGTCACTGCGCTGCCAGCGTGCCAGCGGCCCTGCGGCCCTGCCCGTGGATGCAACCGATGCAACGCCCCCTGCTGCTAGTGCGCTGGTCCTTCCCGACCGTTCCGGGGCCGGGGAGCCCGCCATGATAGGACCTTAGGTCCTGTCGCGACCCCTTAGGTCCTACTATCATGGCACCCGCGGAGTGCGGAGTGTGACCCCGCCGCTGGGGGAAGGAGCGAGAAGGAGGCCGCCCGGGGGAGGTGGACCTCGGGAGCGGGGAAATTCATAGGCAAAGCCAATATGCGCGAATCTGAATGGGAACCCTCTATCGTGCGATTGTGCTTCCGTTTCGCAGACGAGGTGGACTGCTCCCGAAACCGCCTTTGGCCATTGTCTATTCGCGTCAACATGTGGGCCCCACACACATTTCCCTCGTTCTTTCGCTGGCAATGTTTCGGCGAGGTCTGCGGCCGGCGGGGCTGCTGGGGATGATCCCATGCAGCACCCGGCCTGGCACGCAGAGCGGTTCCCATCTCTTTATTTTGCTGCGGTGGTGGTCAACCGTTGGCTGCTTCGCCTCCCCGGCGAGGCCTGGAGCGTCTCGAGCGTCCGGGCCGGCCCGACCTGGTCAGCTGAGGAGAGGCTGCTACCAAGGTTAGGGGCCTAAAAGGCAGGGCGCGGCGTGGCGGACAAGGGCAGGCAGGCTGGCTGGCGCGGCCCGGGCTGGCTGGCTGGCCGCTCACCTGGCCCGGCCCGGCAGCCCCGCCTGTCTCTATACGGATCGGCCCCCGCCGCCCGCCGCGCCCCCGCCGCGCCCCGCGGCCTGGCCGGACCGTAGCGAGCTGCGCCCCGCCCCGCCCCGCGCCGCGCCGCGTCAACAGCCAGTCAGTGCACTCTGAGCCGCGACCGCGTCTAGCAGTGCCGCCCGACAATCCCGACATCGCGGTCAAGTGACGTGCGGTCGCGTTCGTGTGTGTGAGTGTGCGTGCGGCCGTGCCAGTGCGAGCGCGGTGCGTCGACGACAACATGAAACAGGTGTGTGTCGGAGCGGTGGGCGATCGCCCCGCTCCGGGCGGCTGTGGTGGGTGCTTCCAGGTGGATTACCAGTGCGGTGAGAAAGGTGTACGGCGGCCCTGACGGAGCCTGACGGCGTCGCTCCCCCTCGCTGGAGTGGATCAGTCTGCGATTACCCTCCGGAGAGGATTCCCATGGGATAAACGCCGTGGACCTGCTGCGCGTGCTGCAGTGCGCTGCAACGACCTCCCATTACATGGCCGGCCCCGCAGGCCCCAGCCTCCAGCGCCTCCGTCCTCCTCACGTACTGGAGTGCAGGGTCCGCAGGGTCTGACCCTCGCCTCGGACCGGAATCTCCCCCCGTGGATCGCCCCGTGGAGGCGGTTAGGATGCAGCTCTGGAGGGACGTGTCGGCCGCCTGCGGGGCGGGGCCCCTGGAGCCTGGAGCTCCCTGGACAGCTCCACAGCCGCGCTCGGCTCGAGCCCGGCAGGCGTGCTGAAGCACCTGCTGCAGTGGAGCCGAGGGTGCAGCCTGGCCCAGGTGCCAGCCGTTGGCTCGGGCATGACGCTCGAGTCCGGTCCCTGTGCTGGTGGTGTCACACACTATGATGGGGCCGG